TATAGCTACGTATTGTTTAAATTTGTTTTTATCCTGGAATATTTTGTTTTCTCTGTTGATAGTGAACAATAGCTTGGCTGGGTGTAGTAGTCTGGGCTTGCATCATGGTCTCTTACTTTTTGCAGTACCTCTATCCAGGACCTTCTGGCTTTCCTGGTTTCCATAGAGAAGTCTGATGTAAGTCTGATAGGTTTACCTTTATATATTACTTGACCTTTTTCCTTTGCAACTATTAATATCCTTTCTTTAATCTGAATGCTTTGTGTTTTGATTATTATATGGTGAGGAGATGTTTTTTTCTGATCCAGTCTATTCTGTGTTCTGTATGCTTCTTGAACTTTCATAGGAATATAGTTCTTTAGGTTGGGAAAGTTTTCTTCTATAATTTTGTTGAATATATTTTCTGGACCTTTGATCTGCAATTCTTCTCCTTCTTCTACCCCTATTCTTCTTAGATTTGGTTTTTTTTTATTATGTCCAAGATTTCCTGAATGTTTTGTGATAAGAATTTGTTGGATTTGCTGTTTTCTTTGGTCAGAGTGTTTATTTTCTCTATGGTCTCTTCATAATCTTAGATTCATTCTTCTATATCTTGTATTCTTTTGGTTATGCTTGTTCCTGAAGTCTCTGTTTGTTTACCTAGATTTTCCATATCCAGCCGGTCCTTGGTTTGTGTCTTCTTCATTGCCTCCATCTCAGTTTTCAATTCTTGAACTGATTCCATTACCTGTTTGATTGTTTTTTCTTGGTTTCCCAGGGTGTCGTTTACGAATTTTCTCATTTCTTCAAACTTTTTGTTATATTTCTCTTTCATTTCTTTACTCATTTCTTCAAACTTTTTGTTATATTTCTTTTCTATTTCTTTAAGTGAGTTATTCATACCCTGTTTAAGAGACTCTATTGCTTTCCTAATGACACTGTTTTCCACTTCTTCTGGAATAGGGTGTTCAAGTCCTTCTGTCATAAGATTGCTGGGATCTGGTGTTTTCATGTTGTTTTTCAGATTGTTGGAGAAATTCTTGCCTTGGTACCTGCCCATCTCTTCCTTCAGATGCTCTCCAATGGCTCTTCCCTCTGCTGGGTGTTCTGCTACAGGATTAGTGCCCCATGCTGGCCAGGAATCACTTTGCCTGCAGTCCTACCTTGCAGGCTTGTTTGGCAGGTCAGGAACACACTTACCCCTCCATTGTATCTTCTCCTACAGGATCAGTGTCACTTGCTGGTCAGAAATCTCCCTGCCTCCAGTCTTACCTTGCTGCAGGCAGGCTATTAAAACAAAGGAACTCCCTCCTGTTTGCACTCACCACTCAATCCCAGCGGTGCCCACACAGTCTGAGTTGGAGGATTTTATGCCCCCCAAAAGGGAGAGAGGAATGGTAGAGGTTCCTGGCTGAAAGCCGGAATGGGGTGGGAGGAGAGAGGGTTTAGCTGGGGGAAGCTGCCCCTTCGAAATACCCAGGGAGATAAGGATGGCGGGAAAATTGTGTGTTCCCTTACCGGGCTTGTGTGGCAGGTCAGGAACACACTTACCCCTCCATTGAATCTTCTGCTACAGGATCAGTGCCCGGTAAATTTTTTTTAAATTTATTTTATTTAATTTAATTCATTTCTGATGAAAGTGACTCTACATTTGTCATTAGTTTTTTCTCCCAGGGAAATAGATATATAATCAGTGGACTTAAACATCTTGCTATCTAGAAAGTCAAAAACCTCAGGAAAGAGTGTGATAGACCAGTGAGTGACATATTCGTATCAGTGAATTAAATTAGGCCTGCTAGGGTACTTGGTTGTCTAGCCATTGGGTAAAGTCCTTACCAAACAACTAAGAGGATGCAAGTTTGAGTCCTAACACCCAGGTAAAAATTTGAATGTCCCAGTACAGTGCAATGGCATTAGTGCTGGGGTTGCAGAAACAGGTTGATACTGGGAGCTTGCTGGTCACTAATCTGATAAAAATTGTAAGATTTGCTTTCAATGTGAGACAATCTAAAAAACTATGTTAAAGATTGATAGACGAAGGTATCAGATTTTAACTCTTGGCATTTATATGCTAAACAAATACAAGAAACCTCCCGAGCACACCCAAAACACATACACACACACACACACACACGAACACACACACAAAAGCATACATGTACACGTGAACAGACACAAAATACACACACAGGCACACACACATATACCAAATACACGTGCACACAAGCACACACACATATACCAAATACATGTGCACACAAGCACACACATATAAATACATGCAAAAAGACAGAGAAATTAAGTCAGTTAAATTCATCATTCAGAAACTGCTAATCACCAAAAGCCATGATGAACATTTACCCAAGGTAATTGATAGTTGGACAAACAACACAGACAAAGTTTCTTTCCAACCAGTAAATTATGCATGTTAGCTCTGAAAATAACCTATTCATATACAATATCATAAAATAATTACATGGTATATGTTTATCATGAAGTTATGATTGTGTCTCAAAGAACCAAAACATTTTATTAAACATAGTAGGAAGTTTGTGTAAATTACCACATATGTACATACAACAACATAAATATTATGTCATCAAACACTAGTTAATAATTTTCAATCAGCCATTTTAGGAGAAAATAAAATAACAAGGGAAAATATTTTCTATGAGACATAAGCCTGTAAATGAATCTACAATTTTATGAATACATCATAGAATATGCTTTTACTCCTGATTTTTAATTTTGCCAGAGGAAAATATTTAGAATGTTTGTTGGACAATGTGTGAATACAGTTTGTATGGATGTCTGTGAAGTTCAGTTTTTGATATTGCTTTTTTTCTCTTCTGTGTGTTTTAACACCACCATTCTAAATAGTCCTAGAAACACTTTAATTTTTATTCTCATACTTTTTCATAAATGATTCATAAGTGATTATTCTACAACTACATTTTTGTCATGAAACAAATACTCTTCACAGGAAATGGAAGATTTTGTCCAGAGCTCTGGAGAGCATGGTGTCGTGGTGTTTTCACTGGGGTCAATTGTCAGCAACATGTCAGAAGACAAAGCCAATGCAATCGCATGGGCCCTAGCCCAGATTTCACAAAAGGTGAGGGAAAGCATTCTAAGCAAGGTGACTCTATACTAAGTCTGTGAACATCCTTGAAAGGTCTGATTACAGAAATACTGCCATGAAAAGTGAAGTTTTAAGGAGGCAATAATTTTCCTTAGTCAAACAGATATTAGAAATTTATATTAACAACACATGCTTCAATACTACAGAAGGTGTAGTATTTTTGACTAGAGTGACTTGTAGATGTAATGTGACCACCATGCGCACATTTTGAAATGCTGGTATGATGATGGTATTGCTATCAAGAGTATGCAGATATAGTCAAATTCCTCAGAGTCACTTGTTCTATTCGTTGGTTACTTAACGTCACTGTGAACATTAGAATTTCAGAGGTGAGTTAACTTGTATTTAGTATTTCTATCAGAATAATAGTAAGCAGGTGTTGAAAAAGTTTGAAACGCAGCATGACTCTGCACCCTAATTTTGGAGTTCATTTTGCTGTTGAAAGGGTCCTTTAAAGGAAGGGAGTCTGAGGTTCACTAACTGTCAATCAAAGTACAATTTTGGCTAATTGAGAGAAAAAGCAATAAAAGAAAAAAAAATCTATTTTCTGGTTGGCCCGCCAGTATTTGTAGGAGAAATATCCAAGGGAAACTTAGAGACAGGTGCTTCCCTCACAGTAATGTCTGCATCATAAAAGATGAAACTCAAGATTCTGCGCTTAACCAGACAGAGTGAAAGTCTAACCATTCAAGGAATAAATAGAGAAAAAAGAAAGAGTCCAAAGGAGCATTAGGTAAAAAATAAAGCTTCAGATGACTCACTTCATAAAGCATACTAGAAAGAAATTTTTCACAGTTTAAATTTGCAATGGAACAGCCGCTCTTTATTCACCTACATTAATCTTTAGATGATGTCATCCTGTAGTTGATGTCATCAGTCACGTAGCCAATCCATGTTAACCGTGTGGCTAATATTCCAATTTATGAGATCTGTCTGAGAATTTCAACATTAGCACTTATTGTAAGCCTCAGATAGACTAATTTTTCTGTCACAGAATATTCTGACCTCTGCTGCAAAATCTTTGCAGTTCATCACAAGAACTGCATCCCTACCAGTACGCACAAGTCAGTAGGACATAAATCAGTGTCATTAGATTTTAATTTTTTTCAATAACAACACTTGTGAATAGCAAGTAGAAGAGACTTATGTAGATGAGACTGCTAAGAATCTTTGCAAAGATTAATATGGTCAGCAATACCCAAATCCATCTAATTCAAGCCCCAAATAAGGTCATAATTTTAGAATTCCTCATGGAGCCTCTACTGCTTGTTTAACATCTATTTGCTACATGTAATGAATTTCTGAGGAAGAGTAGTGACTGAGTATGTCAACTCTTTCCAGTGCAGAGTGATCAGCTCAATCTGAATCCCCCAAAGTCACATCAAGTCAGGCAGAGTATTTTATGTGTCTGTAATGCCAACACACCTATCAAAGGCAGAAGGCAGAAACAGAAGAATTCCCATGGGCCAGCTGCAGAAAAAAAAAAGTCAAATAAGAAATTCTGTCATCAACAGGAGAGAAACCAGAATGAATATTTGAAGTAGTCTTCTCCATTCCACATTCACCTTGGTATTGAATGAGGTTTCTGTTCCATCAGATCCCACATTTGTTTAGTCCTTTGTCTGGGGTTTCTGTTCTACCTGGTTCCTTTTCCAGCAAGGCAGTCACTGTATCTGGTATACTTCCTCTGTATCCAGATCACAACTGCAGACTGAAATGTTCCTTTTCCCAGAAGTCTCATTGCCCACCTCTCCTTCCTGCCTGATTGCCATCGCCCCGCCTATACTTCCTGTCTGGCTACTGGCCAACCAGAGTTTTATTAAAATTAATACAAGTTGCGGCATTTGACTTGACCAGCAAGAAAAACACCACACGTGGCTCTCTTTCCTAAGCTTTATTTAGGACCTTGAACAATTTCTGAGTAGAACAATGGGATGGGAAAAGCCCGCTCGCTGCTTGAATACCCCCTGGGTAGCCAACCCTAGCAAGCCATGTGGGAAATGCGGATAGGGCTAAGTACGCAGAAGCAAGCCAGGTCACATATTTGGCCATAAATAAAGATGTTTAGGGTCAGAGAATGTCCATCGGTCAGGGGTGAAGAGCGGAAGCCAGCGCCATTTTCAAGGCACAGAACAAAGCAGCTCTCTACATCTCCCCCTTTTTTGTTTAAGATGACACAGGTAAGAGTAGAGGCCTGCTCTCTGTGAAACAAGAGCCTTATATTGATCCTCCTTAGGTGTCTCCCACTCAAAGAGTGCCAGATTGGCTCGATGTCATTTTCCAGAGGTGGAATCTTGGACACCAACCCATATGCAGTCAGGCGTGCTCTTCTCAAGGCCAGCAAATAGCTGTCCTTGAGTGTAGTGTCTTGTCTTGCACCCTGAATTCGTCAGATCAACTTTTCATGGTGGCTAACCATGCTTGGGGGGATTGGCCAGCCTCTATGGCTGTAAAGGCTTGTATTATCATGGCTGCACTGCATCGTTGAGAGACCCTAATCCAACAGATACACCACAGACATGCTAGGGAGACCAACACCAGAAGGCCAGCTAACGCTCCCAAGCGCACCCATTCCTTCAGATGATTCATAGCTGCAGAGATCCAGGATGAAAGCCCTTTAGCAATTCCAGCATCCACTCGGGTGGAATTCACGGTAACGATGGCCACCCTCAGCTGCTTCATCATGGTTTTAAATTCTCCAGTTCAATTACCTAGGAGATAACTAGACAGTTGTTTAGACAAGTTCGCAGCATGGGTAAAATTCTCATATTGTATGCTTGTCACACAGAGTCCAGCATACTTCCATTGGCATCCTAGCTGAGCCAACTGCCAGAGGACATCGATTTGTTCCTGCACCAAATCAATTCTTTGATTAACTACCATTAGCCCTCCTTTCAGTTGTGCATTGATCCCTTTCTGAACATCTAAAGCCAATGCAACGTTGGCTGAAAGGTTGTTTAGGGTTTATGCAGTCTGTACAGTATGGCTCATGGCAACCGCCGCAGTGGCAGCTCCAACCGCTGCTAGGGAAGTGGCAGCAATGACGGCAGCGGAAATTCCAAAATCCCTTTTTAGTCTAAATAAGCTCATAGCGTGAGGAGCATCCACATGGACGGGTATCCACCGTGGCATGCGGGTAACAATCGCATATTTAAATAAGCTGGCATTCCAGCATTGGGCATAAAAGCAAGTTACATTATCACAATTGCTTGGCTCTGTATTACTTACCACAAACATAAATGGAGGATAAACACACACTGGGGTTGGCTTATAGGTAATATTATAAAATGTTTTACTCCCTTCACCAGAGCAGCCAGCATAGGTTGAATGAATACCAGTGGTGCCATCAGGCGAAGTGACAGTAACGTAGGACGGTTCAGAGCCCCAACATCCCCACGGGCGAGGTGTACCCCAGGTAAATTGGCTAGTTCCATGGACTCCTCCGCCAATCATAATCATGGGTTCTAAATTCATGCAACTACCATTAATACCACATAACAGTCAATTATCAAAGGGGTTAGACATATAGCTTCGAAAAGGATTCTGATCACTAAAATTAAAGCCTGTAAAACTTTTATTAAAGCTTGTGCTAATTCCTGGGGAAAAGGTAAAACGCTGTGCTTTATCAGCCCAAATTACTGTATGAGACTGACAACCAGTCCAGGGCCAAAACTCTCCCCAATTTATCCCCCAACAATAGGGAGCCCATTTCGGCTGGTGTGGAGGAATACCATCATCCATCTTTGCAGGCCACCATCCTGATGCCCAAGTGGCATTCGCTGAATGACAGGGGCCACTAGAACTCAAGGGCAAATCAAACCAACCGGCCGTTTGATTGTATAAGGGAATGCAGGAGGATGTTTCAGAAATGTTGCGAACTATATAAAAACATAAGGTTCCTTTCAGGCCAAAAGATCTATTTTCTCCTATGGGTGCTAAATCCGTTTCTATTGGCAAATAAGGAATATCAAGACTTCTATTACTGGTAAACAGTCGTGGAAACAACCTAGCATCATGATGAATCGGCATTGGTCGTGGGAACACGGAGAGGATCCCCCATCTTGGTTCCATCTGTCCGTTCGGAATCATCAGCAGAATGGGCCATAGTATTGTCAGCACCAACTTCATGGTCTTCATGGTCCTGGATCCGTCTTATCAGTCGCTCAGGGACCCACATTGGATCTTGTCGATCCTGGGGAAAAATGCAAACAGAACCTCGTGCCCATGCCAGCACTGGATCGGGCCCATACCAGAGCCCTGTCAAAATATCTTTCCACTTGACCATCCCTTTAGTAGGGCCATGGGGGTCCTGATGTCTATCAGCTGCAGAACGACCTTGAGCGTCCAAATTTAAAAAATTTATAGTAAATAAAGCGAGGGAAAGTCTCTCTTTTGGGGTCCAGCCATGGCCTATTCCCTCTTTTTGTTTTTGTAGACATTCTTTTAGTGTGTGATGAGCACGCTCCACAATGTCTTGTGTCTGAGGATTGTATGGCAATCCATGAACAAGCTGCACTTCCATTTGTAGACAGAAAGAGGCAAACATTTGACCTGTGTAAGCTGGTCCATTGTCATTCTTTAATTGTTGAGGTTTGCCCCAGGGAGCCCAAGCTTCTAGGCAATGAGCTATGACATTGCGGGCCTTTTCTCCTGTCATAGGCGTGGCATGTATTACACCTGAGCAGGTGTCCATAGACACATGTACATACTTCATATTTCCAAATTTAGATATATGTGTTATATCCATTTGCCAAATTTTTAGAGGGCGTAGACCCCGTGGATTTATTCCAATATTGGGTGGATGTTGATGAGTTACACATTGAGAGCAATCTAGAATTATTTGTCGAGCATCTGCTCAAGAGAGATGAAATTTTTGTTGTAATGCTTTAGCATTAACATGAAAGACTTTATGAAAAACTCTCGCATTTTCCAAGGTAGAACTTATGAATATATATTCCATCCTGGTCCATTGATCTACTATATCATTTCCTTCATTCAAGGGTCCTGGCAGACCTGTATGAGCTCTCATATGCTGGATATAAAAGCAATTTTTTCTCTTCCAAATTAAATGTTGCAATTGTTGAAATAAAAGGCATACTGGACTGGAATTCTTAATAGGTCCAGTTACTTCTAGAATTTTGAGGACATTAACAACATATGCGGAATCTGATATTAAATTAAATTCAAAAGGGCAAACTTTAAAGACTTCAACTACAATCTGTAACTCTACAATCTGAGGAGAACCGGGCTGAAATTAATGCCTCACAGGTTTTTGTTTATCTATCATATACATTTCATAGCCTGTCTTAGATCCGTTTGTAAATATATTTGGGGCTATGGAAATAGGCTGAGATGATGTTATTTTAGGAAATATCATAGGATGCTCCTTAAAAAATCTCAACAACGGATGTTTGGGATAATGATTGTCTATGTTGCCATTAAAACTACAGTGCAAAATAGCCCAATCATCTACCATAGCAGACAAAATCTTTATTTGATGGCTGGAATAAGGCATTATAACAGTGGTGAGGGCAGCCCCAAAATATTGTAAACACTGTTGAATCCCGTTCAGGGCTAAAGTTGCCACAGCAGTAGGATAATGCTCAAGAGATTTGGCTGGAGATATTTTGGGATAAATCCAAAGTAATGGCCCATCTTGCCATAGCAACCCTGTAGGCTGATAATACGAAGGAAGGATGCACAAAATGATATCTTGACCCTCTTGAATCCTTTGTAAAAAGGCATCTTGTAATCTACTTTCTACCTTACACAATGCCTCTCATGCTTCATTAGTCAACTGCCTTGGAGAATTTAAGGCAGAATCTCCATTTAAAATATTGTATAAAGGTTTTAATTCATAATTTGGCAACTTCAAATAGCATCTAAGCCAATTTATATCACCTAACAATTTTTGAAAATCATTTAGGGTTTTTAAACTATCTTTTCTCAATTCTACCTTTTGTGGAATAATTTGCTTCTCATCAATTCGCGCATCTAGATAATTAACACTCCTATCCTTTTGCACCTTTTCAGGGGCTATAGACAGTCCCTTCTTCTCAAGTAATTTAACTAACTCCACATAGGCCTGGTCTAGCATTTGTTCACTTTTGGCTGCCAACAGGATGTCATCCATGTAGTGAACGCATCTTAGAGCAGGGAATTTCTCCCTCAACGGTGCAATAGCCTCTCCTACATATAATTGACACATAGTGCCATTATTAGACATTCCTTGTTGTAAGACGGCCCACTCATATCTTTTATCTGACTCTTCATGATTACAGGATGGAATAGTAAAGGCAAATTTTTTACTATCCTTGTAAAACAAGGGAATGGAGAAAAAACAATCTTTTAAATCAACTACAATTACAGGCCAGGAAGCAGGCAAGGAAGACAGCAGAGGCAGCATGCGTTGTACTGGCCCCATAAGCTGCATCTGATTATTAATTACTCGTAAATCATGCAGTAGGCGCCACTTTCCTGATTTCTTCTTAATCACAAAAATAGGAGTGTTCCAAGGAGAGATGGATGGCTTAATGTGGCCTAAAGCTAACTGTTCTGCTACCAACTCATTTGCAGCTGCTAACTTTTCAGAGGAGAGAGGCCACTGAGGAACCCACATTGGCTCCTCTATCTTCCATGTGATGGGAATTCCCTCCCCAGTGGCCCCTAGGAAAAATCCAGCCCCTGCTTAGAAGGGCGTGGTTGCATAGATATTGGGTCTTTCTGCCCTTGCAGCTTCTTTCCCAACCCGAAGCTTGAATGATAGCCCATTTTAGTCATCATCCGCTGTGAAGCTGGGGAATATTCATTATTGAGTTTAAATCCCATGTCTTTCAGCAGATCTCTCCCCCATAGGGAAACGGGGAGTTCTACAACATAAGGTTGAATACTCCCTGAGTGACCTTCATCATCGCTCCATTGTAATTGCCTAGCATTCATATCTGGGGTTTTTGCATAACCTAGGCCTTGTAAGGTTTGAGAGGAGGCTTGGATTGGCCACCCTGATGGCCAATCCTTTATGGCTATGATGCTTTTATCAGCACCTGTATCCAGCAGGCCCAGAATGTCTTTTCCATCTACTTTAAGTGTCAAAACTGGTCGTTGGTCTAAATCAAGGGATAAAAAGGTTAAGTCCGTGCCTGAGGAGCCAAAGCCTTTACCTCCTCTTTCTGTAGGACAGGCCTTAAACTGCCCATGGAGACTGGGAAGGAGTACGAGTTGAGCAATCCGATCTCCAGGGGAAATTGTAAAAATGCTTTTAGGTGACTCCACCATAACCTTGACTGTCCCAGTGTAATCTGGATCTATAATTCCAGGATGAACTCTTAGACCTCTTAATGTCATGGAAGATCTCCCTATAAGTAATCCTACTGTTCCTGGATCAAGAGGTCCTCTAAAATCTGTTTCTACAAGCTGGATTCCCATTCTGGGAGTTAATACGAGTCTGGTGGTGGCACGGATGTCCAGTCCTGCCGAGCCCGCAGTGGCTCTCCGTGGTCTCTCGGATGTTGGAGAGAAGGCCACATCCCCTGACACGTGTCCTCGCTCTGACTCTCGACTGCCCCATATATTTGCGGGCCCTGGGGGTGGGCCCGTGGTCCGTTTTTTGAACGGGAGCTTGCAGGCATCTGAGACAAGGGCTGGCCATTTATATCTTTTACAGATCTGCATTCGTTTGCCCAGTGTTTTCCCTTTTTACACTTTGGACAGAGGTCTTGCTGAGTCAGATGTTGGCCATCATGCCCTTGAGAGGTACCTTTCCTCTCTGGACACTGTCGTTTTAAATGTCCCACTTTGCCACACTTAAAGCAGGCACCTGAAGCTGCTCTTTTCCCTTGTGTCAGCTGAACCATTGCTGCTGTTAGGCCTGCATTTGTAAGAGGTCCTCCTAACTTCCTGCAAATTTTCATCCACACTTCAAGTCCTCGGCTTTTGTAAGGATTTATAGCATTCCTACATTCCTTTGTGCATTGTTCATATATCAGTTGTTTTATTATTGGCATGGCCTGTTCTGGATCTCCAAAGAGTCTGCCTGCAGCTTCAACCATGCGAGCTACAAAATCTGAAAATGGTTCAGCAGGGCCTTGCAGGATCTTAGTAAGATTGCCGTATACTTCTCCCTGGTTGGGCCATGCCTTCCAAGCCCTGATGCCTATTTTATTAACTTGCTCAAAGACTTGGGCTGGGTAGCCAGTCTGTTGATTGGCAAAGCGACCCTGGCCAAATAGCATGTCCCTATCCCAAGCATTGTTCCCTGCTGCTTGATTGATAGCCGCTTCCTCATTTGCAAACTCTATCAAAAAGGCTCTCCAGTCAAGATACTGCCCTGGGCTTAAACATGCATGAGCTGGCCCGCTCAAATCACTGGACGTCATGCAATATCGGCTCAGGGCCTCCATCTGCGCCACCGTGAAGGAGGTGCTTGTCCCGTAAGTCCTCATAGACTCAGCTAAGGATTTTACCACCTTAAAATCCAGGGGCTCCTGGTATCTATTTTCTTGTGGATCCTGAAACACTGGACAAGCTAATCGTAGTTCTGTTCTCACTTACTTCCAAACTCCTGGACAAAAGGTGCTTCCAGTGCTGCCCTGACTTCCCTCCACATAAGGTGGGGGGGCAGAGGGTGCCATGAGGCAAGGCCTTGTAGCTCTCGAACTTCCTTTCTCTCTGCTTTTCTTCCTTTTCCTCAGCCTCACTTTCCGCAATCTTTCTGCAAGTTCTAAGAGTTCCCTATCAGATCCACTTGATTCTGAGTCCCTTTCTTCCGACTCTTCGAACTCAGAAAGGTCTGGGTACAATTTTTGCTGCTTATGAAAGCTTCTTTCACTGCCTGCCTTCTCAGACTTATTCGATCAATCTTCCTGCATGATTTCTAGGGCTGCTTGTCCCTTTTCTATCGCCTCACTGCAGCGCTGATCTTCCAGACAGCCCCTAACTAGTTTCCAGACCTGCCTAACTCCGCCCCTAAGGTTCCCTTGTTCATGCGCAAAATCCAGGTCTTTGCCCAGTTTATCCCATGAAGACATTGATAGACTCCCACTATCAGCAAACCACGGAGCTATTGTCTCACATTCATTTAGGAATCTTTCTAGAGTAGTTCGTTTTATTTTCAAATTTTTTGATCGTAGCAACTCATTCAGAGCTATAAAAATTGGGCGAGAGTGATTTCCACCCATAACTATTCAAAGCCTTTCTTCACCTTCAGCTTGCTAACTCGCAGAACCGGTTTCTCTGCCTTCCCCTTATCTAAGAGGCAGCGCAGTAAAAAAATCCCTGCTTTGATGCGGTCACTCTCTCTTTATTATGTAGATAAGAGTGATTATCCTCCGCTTTGCCAGGGCTACCCTTTCTATCCAGGGACGAGCAGTTTACCCCTGCTTTGTTGCAGAACCCCCCCCTACTTACCTTGGGGACTTTAGTGTACTTCCCTGAGCATTAGGAATTTCTGAGTCATCGCCTGGTGAAGTTCTCCCAGGTTTCGGCAGCAGCTGTGGCATTCGACTTGACCAGCAAGAAAAACGCCACAGGTGGCTCTCTTTCCTAAGCTTTATTTAGGACCTTGAACAATTTCTCAGTAGAACAATGGGATGGGAAAAACCCACTCGCTGCTTGAATACCCCCCTGGGTAGCCAACCCTAGCAAGCCACGTGGGAAATGCGGATAGGGCTAAGTACTCAGAAGCAAGCCAGGTCACATATTTGGCCATAAATAAAGATGTTTAGGGTCAGAGAATGTCCATCGGTCAGGGGTGAAGAGCGGAAGCCAGCGCCATTTTCAAGGCACAGAACAAAGCAGCTCTCTACACAAGTAACAGAATAAAAGACCATTGTAGCACAGTACTCTCCCCCTTTAAAAAAATAGAACTCTGAATCTAATATCCTTTGTTTAGCTTTTCTCCTGACCATTATCCATAACAACCAGTATCCAACATTCCAAACAAAAAAAAAAATATCCACAGTCCATTTTTTGGAAATGTGGGTATAGTTTTCCAGTCCATTTAATGTTGAATGGAGGTGCTGATAATATTATGGGACTTAAAGAAAATTTAGAATTATGATCAAGTAGTGACTAGAGTATGCTGTGAGGCTTGATTATCTCAGCCAGCTGTCATGGGTGTGTTCTAGATGTAGAACCCAGACATCTGGGCCATCTATCTGCTCCTATCAGATTTCTCAGGAAGTCTTCCTTCTTCAAACCTGATTTTTCTAAACCCAGAATGGATCCACAGCCTCTCATTTCCTGTGCAAACAAAATTAAAACATCTTCTCCAAAGTAACATAACTTTTGACTTTAATTTTCATGTCAAGATATTTTCAAAATATCTATCTTGGATTATATCAGCAACATTTATAAGCAAATACCTTTTGGCAGCTGTTACTCCTTCCTCAGCATTCAAACAACTCTGAAAAATATAATAACATACAGTATCCAGATTCTCTGTGTGTTTTCTATCTTTACATGGCTTTATTTTATCTCTATTTTATTTTATTTTTAATTTTTGGCTTTTAGAGACAGGGTTTTTCTGTGTATCTTTGTCCTGGAACTTACTCTGTAATGCTTCTTTTCAAGTCACAGAGATATGCCTTCTTCTGCCTCCAAAGTGCTGGGATTAAAGGTGTGTACCACCACACCTTGAACTCACAGAGATCCTTCTGCCTCTGCTCTCAAGTGTTGGCATTAAAGGTATGCCATCACACCCAATTACTCTCTTTTCTTCTTTTTATTTTAAGGACTTTATTCTTTTTTCTTTTCTCTCTCAAGTCTACATATATTATTAAGCAACCATCAACCATTTAGAAGTTTTCTTCATCTGAATCTATCTTTACTGTATGTCTCTCTTTTTCTGGTCATGTGAGTCTTAAATTTGCTATGTGATATGGCTAGAATTAAAGCCCTGACTTTGATGACTGGATCCAGCCCATTCTTTAGCTTTCTGAGATCCCAGTCTCGTGGCGGAGGTAGCTGGAGTTGTGCTTATCGGCACAATTCCGTGGCATTTCAAGGTCCCTGCCACCATGAAGAAGCATGCAATCAACTTTTCATAAAAACCATATAATGTTTTGTGGCAAGACCTCTTAAAAGAGCTGCAAGGTTTTGCAGCTAAAGCTAAGTAAGGAAGCCTCTCTTAAATGAGATATATTTGCCTCTAACAAACAGAGACCACCTGAGAAAATGCTGCTGTCAATAAGCTGTGCTTAACTCTATTCTTTTCTCTCTAGAATTACTTCCCAAGCTCTCTCAGGCTTTCAGTGGATGCAGTTGTCTACATGTTGATCACCATTTGTTGACTGAGGATTTTGGTCTATCAGGTCCCACATCTGTTTAGTCCTTGGTCTGGGTTTTTTTTTCTGCCTGGTTCCTTTTCAGTGAGGCAGTGACATCTTGTTTCCTTTGTGACTGGATCATTACTGCTGACTGAAACATTCCTCTTTCCAGAATTCTCATTGCCTTGCCTCTATTTACTTCCTTGTTGCTATCACCTCACCTATACTTCCAGCCTGGCTACTGGCCAATCAGCATTTTAATAAAAATAATACAAGTAACAGGATAAAAGACCATTGGCCCACTGCACCTTGGAACATTTAAATATATATCTACACACATGAATTGCCTCTTATATTCTCCATCACATACAGAACATCCAGGGAGGAAAAGAGAAAATGAGATACAGACAGAAAAGAATTTTCCAATCTTAGTGAAAATCCAAAAATGTGCATTCATGTTCAGAACCCTACAAGCAATTTTTCCTCTCATTGGTGTTTAAGATTACAAGAAGATTCTTACATTACATTAAGATTCTTAGAATCCTAAAGTAAAATTGACTTATCATTTTTTTTTTCATTTAAACACTGCCAGGCCCATTAGCTCTAGCCTCTTATTGACTAACTCTCACACCTTGATTTAACCCATTTCTGTTAATGTGTATCACCAATTGACTTTGACTTACTGGCATGAGTCTAACCAGTGTCTGTCGTGGGCAGGAGAATTATGGTGTCTGCCTCACTCTGCTCTTCTTCCCAGCATCCAGTTCTGTCTTTCCAGCCTACCTATATTTCTGCCCTACCAAAAGACCAAGGCAGTCTCTTTATTCAACCAAAGAAAGCAACACATCCTACACCACTAAACAGTTGGTAATGATAATTTTCAAGGACTAGAAATCTGCATTACATTGTTAAATGAGCAGTATAGGTACAATACTTTGAACAAGATTAGAAAGGTATGTACAGTATGTTTTAACAAAATTAATCTCAAATTTGTATCAATACACAAAATTTGGATACAATATATAAAAGTCTAATCCAATGTAAAAGATTTAAATCTAGTAGTTACTTTGTAAAAATAGATTCAATAAACTACCTTTTTATCTTACCATGTCTATATCCTCCCTTTATCTTTTCAGAGTAGATTCAATAATCCAACATTTTAGCCTATCATATCTATATGCTCCCTTTTAAAAACAAGATTATATCTATATTGTCCCTTTTGATCCAGAATAGATTTAATAATCTACCCTTTCAGCCTATCCTGACTATATCCTCCCTTTTATTCTTTTCAAAACAAGATCCTTGAATCTAACTTCCATTGTTTAGCATGTTTCCTGGCCATTATCCATAACAACTTGTAACCAACAAACTAAATAAAAACAAACATTCATAATCCATTTTTTGGAAATGTAAACATAGTTTTCTAGGCTACTTCCTGCTGATTGGGAGCACTGATAATCTTATGGCCAATAATTGTTCATAGTTCCATGGCTTTGAGTAGGATAATGTACCTATCTTTCCACTGCATGATCAGGTTTGGTCTGTTTTTGGTTATTCAGTTATTTTTCTTGTATTTGATTTACTTGAGTTCTGACTTCCTTGCTCATATTCTCCCTCCTTCTGCTCTTCATCTGGATCTTGGGAGGTCAGTCCAGTGCTCCAATGTGGGTCTCTGTCTCTATCTCTATCTTAAAAGACAATGATTGCATAGATTTTAACTCATGTGAAACAAAAGAAAATAATAATAACTGTACAACGAAAAACAAACCAAACCTGAGCATGCAGAGGGAAGGTGGGTACATTATCTTACCCAAAGCCATGGAACAATGGACAATTATTAGCTTGTGAGAAAGAGTATAGGTCCTGGTAAGTCAACCTTTCTCTACCAGAAGGCCACACGTTTAAGAATATTTGTAGAGCACAAATTGGTCTTGAAAGATTCTTTTTTTAAGAACACCGATTAGAGTGAATAGAGAAGGGGGTGATCTAAGTAAGATTGGGGTGTGGGAATAAATATTACAAAAGTATATTATATGAACTCCCAAAGAAATAAAGAAAAAAATGTCTGTTTCACTTGGTGTGGTCATAGTCATCTTTTGGGCAACAGATGGAGTTCCAATGTGCAAATATTACAGGCATATTTTGAGCCACTTAGTCTACCACAATAGTTCTACAAAGAACATGAGTCTTTGGGTGAGGTGATTTATCAGGTTCAACATTTTATAATAAAACCTATACTGTCACTGCTTTAGGTGCAGTGATACTTGGGAGAATGGGCCAGAAATGAGACAGAATAAAGGATTATGCAATAGTAAACTTTATTCATAGAATCAGACAACGTCTACTGTGAAGGCTGAGAGAGATCATGTGAGAAAATATCACAGTAGTTGAAGCTATGTCCAATCATAACAGGAAGCCCTGTGGGTCAAAAACATGTTTTCCCAGAGTACCCCAAAGACTGTTTAAACATTATCTGTATAACAGCAGCACATCTGGGAGAAGGACAAAAACACTTTCCAAGAAATAATAGGACATTAAGATAAATGTAAAGTAGTTTTCTATCCTTCCATAGCAATGTATAAATAAAATTTGAAAATCCATACAGTTCTGTAAATCTCTTTAAACCTGATTGTTAGTAAGGGGTACAGCAAGGATCAAAGTCACATGATTGTTAACATTGGGCCCTCCCCTGTTTTACTGATTGGGCAAGAAAAGGAAGGTAAGCAGTTAGTATTTTATGGACCTGATGGTGGAAATAAATTCATTCTAAAGTTTTATCCTTTGTGCTACACTACCTCTAGGAGACAATTAAGTGGTGAAAATAAGTTTAAAGGCAGCAAAGAATCCACACAGTGGGGGCCCACTGAAGTGGTTCTACTCCACATTGAGCAAAGTCAGAGAATTCAAGCCTATTTCTGCTCCTCCAAGGATAATACAGGAGGTTTCAAACGGGGAGTGGTTGCTTACAGGATAATTGGTCTAAAGTGTAGTCACTGCATGTCCTGCCTAAAACATCAGAATGCTTAACTCAGGAAATAGTGACTTGACATCTGAAGTATTGAAGCAAGTGATTGTTCTATTTGTTCTTTGTGTCACGTTATATCAGTCTTTTACCTTCTTCCCCCTTTTCTGGATTAAGGTATATAAGCATATGGAAAATAAACACAGACATATTCAGCATTCACTGGATAACCCACGTGCTTCTTTTCTCCATCTCCGTATTTCTTTCATATCTCTGTTCCTCCTACCTAATTTTTCTAATTCACATGCTGCTCACTACCCTGGAAAATGCAAGTTCCATTAAGGCTGAACCCCAAAGATGTCACCCTAACAGATGTCAGCCCAACTTGTGGCTATGACACCA